TCCGCAGATCTACCTCGAAACAAACCCGCTCGTCTCCGGCTTCGCGTTCTCGCTCCTCATCGGCTTCCTCGCCCTCGTGGTGTCGGAGTACAACAGGAACTACTCCCAGATCGACCGGTTATGGAGTCTTCTACCTAACTGGTACATCGTTCACATGGCCGTGTGGGCGCATTTGAACGGAATTCCCGCACAGAGGCTGATTTTGACCGCTGTTGCGACTACGCTCTGGAGCGTGAGTAGCCCCGTCTGACCCAGGCCTTCGTCCTACGACAGCTAACCAGATGCGCTTCCAGGGTCGACTGACCTTCAACTACTGGCGCAAGGGCGGATACGAACGTGGAAGCGAGGACTACAGATGGGAAATCGTCCGCAAACAAGTCCCGGCCGTCGTCTTCTTCGTCTTCAACGTGACATTCATCTCCTTCATCCAGTCCATCCTCCTCTTCGCCTTCTCTGCTGCGCCGGCTTACTCCCTCCTCCTCGCCAGCCGCGTCGAGCCCGCGATTTCCGCCGCGGACTGGTCTTTCTTCTCCATCATCGTCGGCCTCGTCCTGAGCGAGTACATCTCCGACGGCCAGCAGTGGGACTACCAGACCGCCAAGCATTCTTATCTCAAGGACAAGAAGGCGCCCCGCGGCTGGGCGCAGGAAGATCTCGACCGTGGTTTCGTGACCGGGGGCTTGTGGGCTTACAGCCGCCACCCCAACTTCTTCGCTGAGCAGATGATCTGGTTCGTGTTGTACCAGTGGAGTTGCTACGCGACCAAGGTGCTGTACAGCTACACCTTTGCCGGCTCCGCGTTCTTGATCATGCTTTTTCAGGGGTCGACGTGGCTCACGGAGTTGATCACCTCTGGCAAATACGCCGAGTACAGCGAGTATCAGAAGCAGGTTGGCATGTTCATGCCCACGTCGGTATTCGGGTACCGCAAGCCCCAGCCCAAGATCATCAAGACCAGCGAATTGGCCAAGAGACAGACAAAGAAGGACAGGTAAACTGGTCGGCGACAGCATACTGTCCGTGATATAGAGTGACTTGGGAGATGCTATATGTCATGTGAACTAGAGTAATGCATCTGTGTATACTTCTAGGGGTCTTTCTAGCTCTAGGCGCGCTTCTGAAGTTTCTAGTCTCTATTCCCGTAGAAATGTTTCATCACCGCAATGACACGCTCATGCATCGAGGTTCAAGCTTGCAAGACTGTCGACATAGTACGCCGGCACAGCCGCGGCGCCCTCCTTCTCCCAGTCCTCCTTCTTGTGCACGCCAGTCAGCACAGCTAGCGTACCGCCCAGCTTGCCTTCCCTTCCAAACTTGATGTCGGTATCAAGCCGGTCGCCAATCATGCACGTCCGCTCCCGGTTCAGCTGGAACTTGCCCTCGACGGCGTCCATCATGGCCTGCGACGGCTTGCCCAGCGCCAGCGGCTGCTGCTGGCTCATGTTGATCAGCGGGATCGAGATGGAACCCGCGCCGGGGAAGAAGGTGTGCGACATGGGCAGCGTGCTGTCGGTGTTGGTCGCCAGGAAGACGGCGCCGCGGCGGAGGTACTGGTAGCCGAGCGACAGCTTCAGGTAGTTGATGTGGAAGTCGAGGCCGGCGAGGACGACGCCGACCTCGGGGTCCAGCAGCGAGCCGTCGGCGATGCCGGCAAAGTCCTCCGGGCCGATGTCGCGGCGGAGGGCCGGGTCGGTGCCGCCGATGAAGTCGACGCCCTCGGCGCGGAGCTCAGCTTCGATGCCGGCCTCGCCGATGACGAAGACCTTGCGCTTGCCCTCGGGGAGCTGGAGGATGCGGGAGATGTAGACGGCGGAGGAGTAGGCGGAGCCGAAGATGTCCTCGACCTCGGAGGGGATGTCGAGGGCGGCGAACTTCTTGTGGTAGTCCGGGCGGGACTTTGTGGAGTTGTTGGTTACGAAAACGGTTCTCTTGCCTGTTTTTGGACGAAACGAACGTTCACGATGTTAGGGGCACGAGGGTTCGTTTACAAAGGGGTGGGGTTTGGATGAGATTGAAGAGGTTACGGAGGGGCGTGAGAGTGAGAAGGGTGGTGAGTAACCTCTTGAGCGCAGAAAGGCGAGGGTCTCGCGGATGCCGTCGAACAGGTGGTCTCCGGACCAGAGGACGCCTTAGGTCGGGTTAGCCTGCTGCCGACCGCACACGAAGACGAGATCGATCATTACCATCGCAGTCTAGCAGGAAAGTCTGTCTCTCAGAAATCTCACGATCAGTCTCTACCCATCACGATGCTTTACGGATATGACTCAGCGTCTGGTGGTGGGGGGCAGTGGGAAATCGCGCACGTCAAACTTGTCGAGGAATTCTTGGATGGCGGTGGGGTCGCCGGTCAGGTACTTGGGTGGTTGAGACATCGTGACTTTCGAGCGTCTGGTGTTTTCAACAAAATCGACGGAGCGAATACGACGAGTGCTGGAGTGAGTTTGGAGCAAGGGTGATTTAGGTATGGCACTGGATGACGATAAGTGGACGGGAGTGAGAGTGAGGTTGGACGGCCATCGTCCGATTGGTCGATCCGCGGGTCGTGGCTGCCGCCGAGGTACGGGGCGTCGGTGGCAGCATGAGATTATTGAAACCCGGGGAGGAAGAGTGAGACTGAGACGGTGCGGTCTCGGAGCTGGGAGGGCCATTGGAATATTTTGGTTCTGGATGCGATGGGCTAGCGTCTGTTTGTTGCACAAGACGGTTACGACGGAGTGGTGAAATCTGGGGGAGAAAGTCAGGACGAACAGGCCGTTTGAGGCTTCTTGGATGAGATGAGTAAGGTGGATCTTCAGTTTCCAGCCTCCTTCCCCAGATTCAATGGCATGTCAACGTTGTGAATTCTTGCTTGTTGCATGCAATCATCCGAATCACTGTTGAGAATATGTCGACGATTGATCCGAGGTGCGCATCTCGTAGGAGCGAAACCGGACGTTGAGCTTCATGCGTTTGACCTACATTCTTCTCACGATGGCCTCTTGACGCAGTGGCACGCGGGGTCCCGGATCATTCAACAACTTACATGCAATTTGAACAGTCCAGAACGGGCAAGGAATGCAGTTTGACACATTGTTTTCCCCTCAATGTTTCTCCTGGAGCAACTTGTCAAAAAGCTTACACCGCACATTCAGCAAACCTCTTCCGATCGCAAAAGTAAGGATGTCAATGGAATGCGGCGCTATGCAGCTCATCCTTCCTGCCCGCGGGGGTCACGGCTACGGCCCCACGTCAAGAAGGAATAAGCAAATGCAGCCGTCTGCGGAGCTTCCTCAAATGTTTCGTGCATATGCAGCATTTTCAACGGCATCGCCCCAGTGGACTCTCTCGCTGTAGCTTGCATTGGTAATCCGGAGCTATCTGAATCTTGCGGATGCCATCAGTCAGAACTTCCATCGTAAATGACGTCAGAAGGGATTGCTACATGAGTCGTTCAACTGTCGGGTGGCAGTGATAGTGGGTGGCGGCGCACGGCGCAAGGCAGATGAACGAATTTTCCACGTGCATATTCCTTTCTTATTTGAGATCCGTAAATACGGCCCGACAAGATCGCGACCCATCTGGCTGACGTAGATCTCCTTCAAGGAATACTAAGCAAGCGTGGTTGGTCATAGCCATGCCGCCGAAGCACCGAAGGCTCCGTCGAACATTCAGCGGAAGATTGCCGCTCTGGCGGACGGCGGAATAGCGTCGATCAGCGGCTCCGCGACCCTGAAAGAAAGGTCCCTGGAGGACGCAATGGGTCCAATGAAAACCCATCCCCCCCTTTCGGTGTCAACGGATTTTAGGTGATGGCAACCGAATCCCGCGCTGTAGCTCATGACCTGCGCTGCGGCTCTCCCGTTCGCAACGTGATGGCCGTGCCCCTAGCTCCGGTGGGCGGCGTGGCGGCGTCACATCTCACCCGTCAACATCATGCATCCTTGAAGAAATTTCGACACGGGAGATAAGGATGGTGTGCTGGCTGGCTCTGGCAGGAAAGTTTCTCATGCCGGCGGGCTAGGCGTGCTAAGTCTCCTGCGCAAGGCCGACCGTGGTGGACTGTCTCGTCTCTCCCCCATGCCGTGACTTCCTGACTGACCTGCCTACCCAACTGAAAATAAGTCAGTCGACCTCGGCGGTGAGGATTAAGCTGTAAAAGACCGCTTCACCGCTTGCGCTCTGTTTCACCGACAGGCAGGCACCCTGGTGGAATGAAGCGTGGGGGGAGAGACAGGCCGTCGACCATTGCAGGAGGGACTAGATCTCAGGGTCTGGTCCGGGGAAGGAGAAAGCTTGGGACACCGATATTGGAATGATCGTGGTCGAGGTGAAGCTGAAGTGTGTCTTGGTCAACCTGCCTTGAGGCGCACCTACCTATTGTGTCGTTAGACGCTCCTTCCAAAGCAGAGACTAAATCGTCCTAACGGAGTTTGTCCGGTGAATGGCCTTTCACCTCGCCTTTTGATCAATATTTTCTTTTTTTCTTTTTTTTCCTTTCTCCGGTCTGTCCACGAGGGTCGGTACAAAAAAGTTCACCTTTTTGCTCCCACCGTCTTATAAATCCTTCCTCTTCCCTATTCCATCTTTCCTCTCGCCACACCTCGGTCTCTCACGATACGAACCAAAGCGAAAAGCTCGCCATCTCCATTCGCTTTACGAGCTTCGTCACGCGCAAGGTTTCTCCGGCAAACAACTACTTAATTTGTTCAATTCCCTCCATCGTCACGTCACTTGCTCAATACACCCGACGTACACGAGACTTGACACACCACCACCACCACGCTCGCACCAAAATAACTCCGCTTGCCTATCAGCACCCAGTCCCCGTCCCTGGCTTCTATTCCGGCTCCCCGTCTTCAGCTCCTACCTTGGTCCCTGTCGTGGCCCCCATCCACCGGCCCAGACTTTCGTTGCCCGCGCTCCCCACCGTACCAAACGCGACGCCGGCGGACCGTCTCATCTCAATATTGGGACCGAAAAAAACCAGTACTCCACTCACTCTCGCCCATTAATTAGCAACCATGGCCCCCGTTACCTTCACTCAGGAGCAGCTCCAAAGCTTGCGTTCTCTTCCCGCCCCCGAATACACAATGGCATCCCACAGCGCCCAGCAGACTCCTGCCACGGCTTCCACTGAGCTTTCTCAGACCGACTACTTCGGCCCGTCCTCCCAGAGCTCCTCTACCAACTCTTCGCGCACCTCCGCTGAGATCCAGCGTCCGGCCGTCACCAGCGCTCCCCAGCAGCTCAAGGCCAAGAACCCCCTCCCTCCTCTGTCCCGCGACTTCCCCAAGCCCGCCGAGGACATCAACGTCGCCGAGGCCCTTGCCCGCAAGCCCGGTCGCTGGACTATCCAAGGCGCCGTCGCCGCCGAGAACGCGCGCATCCGTCCCGTCGTTGACGAGGAAAAGGAGAAGGCCAAGCGTCTGCAGGCCCTCGCCGACGCAAAGAAGAACCTCTTCGCCGCCAGCGAGTCTCTCAAGACCATCTCTCTGCCTCCTCGCAAGAACAACTTCTAAGGAAGCCCGCTCCACCCCAACAACGTAAAATCACCAAAAACCAACAAAATCTTGCTTTTGCTTGTTACACTTCAACAATCGGTGCGCGAACGGACCCGCAGCGGTCGTTGAGGTACGATACCCACGGTTAGGTCGGAGAGAAGGATAAGGGAGGATAGGATGAAAAGCGATTGATTCGATGCGTCAGACGGAAGGCGTCTCGGGAACTACCAGTGCACGGAAGCGAATTGTCATTGCACCAAACGGCGTTTCATTTGGTAAAGACTTTTGATTTTGCCTATTCATTTGGTCAAGAAGGGACAAGAGTTTTGACGAGATGGCCACTGCACGATACGGCAGTCTGAACCTGTACATAATGCATTCTGAGCAACCCATACTACCGGGTTTCGATCAGCCTAATACACACAAATCACCTACACTACTGCTACAGTGACAAGCATACACTTAGTCGAGGCGCTTGGCAAGAGAGAAGCCGTAAGCGACGGTCGCAATGAAGCCAGCAAGGTTGACGAGGGTGGAAACACCGTGCAGCTTGCCAAACGACTTGTTAAGGGCAAGCATCTCCTGCGAGTGCGGCGGCTTGTCGTAGCTCTTCTTCCCATCCTTCTTCTCTACACCGGATGTTAGTGACCATCAGATGAAAACCCGCAATGAGACTAATTACCCTGGGCATATCTAGCTGCCATGACCTTCTGCGTCTTGGGCAGAATCACTACCAAGTTCAGCAGGCCCGTCACGAACATGGTGGCGATGGGCAGCAACGCGCTGGTTCTGTTGGACTCATGCAGGAGACCGCTGATGCTGCTCTCCTGCACACCAAACGGGCTGGCGCTGCCGGGGAACGTCAGGGCCATGACGGCGGGGAGGGCCGTCTGGATGGTGAAGTAGACAGGGAAGAGGGCGTTCTGAGCGGTTGAGAAGGCGGGCCGCTCGAGGACGCGGAACATTGTGATGCCATTCACAAAGGACTTATTTAGTCAGTAAATCACCAGTCTCAGGGTAGATTGAGAAAGTCGTTGGCGACATACGTGGAAGAACGTCGTTCCCAAAAGGGTGCCGTATCTAGCCAAGAGCGTTAGGGATCGATGACGAATGACCTGATGAGACGGAACTCGTCTCATTGGGAGAAGTCGTTCTTACGAGATGATGTGGTACGGCGCCGCCGAGAAGAGGATTGAGTCGGGCATATTGGGCGATACTGGAAAGATTCTACTGGTTGTTTTTGGAAGTCTGGCGGTGTTATTCACAAAGGAGAGTTGAGGTTGGAGGATGAGGTTGCGGCGGCGAATGGTAGCAGACGGACGGTGCCATCTGGAACGAGCCGCCGCCCAGTGAGGAGACAGGGGTTTGCAATGTATGAGGTCACTCTCGGCATTGGACTGCCACAGAGCGCCATGCCAGCGCTGCACTACAGTGCTTGAACCTTACTCAGTAGGCGGCATGCATAACGTCGATACATCTCATTGCTTCACTCATTAGTTCAATCTGAGAGCATTTCCGATACCTCGATAAGACAGGTACTCAAAATACGATGTGCTAGAGGAAGCTGCAGGGGACAGAGGAACACCCGCTAGCACTTCCCTTATCGTTATCATCACGTGATCGCGTGCAGAGCCAAGCGCATCCAAACGCGCTGGGGCGCGCAGCAGCCTGGAGCTCAGGATGGACCTCCTCTGCCTAAAGTGAACCAGGGTCCAGAACCGACGTCCCATCCGTCGCAACGCCATTCATTAATACCCGCTTCCGCTTTGCTCTTCATTTCTTCACTTCCTGACTTGTTTGCAATTGCTCGTCTCTAATGTTTGATTTCTGAAATAACGTCACCCCTTTCTCAAAGAACCACCCAAAATGGCGGACAAGGAGGCTTCCGTGTACATCATCGATGTTGGCAACTCGATGGCCGACTGCCACAACGGCCGCACGGAGTCAGATCTTGACTGGAGCATGCGCTACGTTTGGGACAAGATCTCTACCACCGTCGCCGCGTCGCGCAAGACCTGGACCGTCGGCGTGGTAGGTCTCAAGACGGACGACACGCGCAACGCCATGCAGGACGACGAGGGCTACGAAAGCATCTCCGTGTTGCAGGAACTCGGGCCAATGACTTTGACCTCCATGAGAGAGCTCAAGGAGGAGATCAGGCCAAGTGGCACGGAGACTGGTGATGCAGTCTCCGCGGTGGTGATTGCTGTCGACATGATCCAGACGTTCACAAAGAAGCTCAAGTACAAGCGCCGGGTGTACCTCATCACGGACGGTCTAGGGCCAATTGATGCGGACGATGTCGATGATATTGCCAAGAAGATCAACTCTGACGGGATTGAGTTGATTGTCTTGTGAGTGCCATGATCACCATTCGGTAGCGTCAACTAACACGAGCAGGGGTGTGGATTTTGACGATGCTGAGTACGACTTCAAGGAGGAGGACAAGCCTTCAATCAAGGTATGCTATCTGGCCTCACTCGGCCTGACAAGCTACTTACACATTTCAGAAACAAAACGAGCAAGTCCTGAAAGACCTTGTCTCGAAATGCGACAATGGTCAATTTGCAACCATAGCAGAGGCAATCGACGAGCTCGACACCCCTCGACTCAAGGCCGTTCGTCCCTACAAGACGTACGACGGTCCCCTGACCCTCGGCCACGCCGACCCGCCACCAGAGCTCAAGATCCCTCCTACGCCCGTCATCATCAACGTCGAGCGCTACTTCAAGACCAAGCTTGCCAAGGCACCAGGCTCCTCCACGGTCGTCGTATCAGCTGATCCTTCGTCGCAATCGACGCACACCATGGACGCCGAGCCCATGGAAGGTGTCGAGTCAACAGCTGGCTTTGCTGCTGTGAAGTCTGCGAGGACATATAAGGTCAATGACCCTGATGCTCCTGGTGGAAAGCGGGATGTCGAGTTTGAGGCGTTGGCGAAGGGGTATGAGTACGGCCGGACGGCAGTCGCGATTAGCGAGTCTGAGTGGAATGTCACCAAGCTCGAGACTATCAAGACGTTTACCATCATTGGGTTCATACCTAGCGAAAAGGTACTTTCGTTCCTCTCTTCGTTCCTCTCTTGGTCAAACATAGTGCTTACAAGATCTAGTACGAGCCGTTCCTCAACATGGGCGAGACCTGCGTAACAGTAGGCCGCAAGTTTGACGAGAAATCCCAACTGGCCCTCTCTTCCCTGATTCACGCCCTTTACGAGTTAGAATCTTATGCCGTCGCTCGCCTCGTCATCAAAGAGAAGAAAGATCCCCTTCTCGTACTCCTTGCGCCTCGCATCGAGCCCGATATGGAATGCCTCTACGATATCCCTCTCCCATTTGCGGAGGACGTTCGCGGCTACCAGTTCCCACCCCTCGACCAGGTTATTACCGTCAGCGGGCAAAAGATCACCACAAATCATCGTCTGCTCCCTAGCGATGAGCTAACTGATGCGATGAGTGATTACGTTGACTCGATGGATTTGGGCACTTTTGGCAATGATGATGAGGGGTAAGTCCCCCTTTGTTCACAACTCAGTGTCATCCCTAACACCCCTTAGAAACCCATCCGAATATGCAGCAATTGACGACACCTATAACCCCATAATCCACCGCCTAAATCAAGCAATCCGCCAACGAGCCGTCGATCCAGAAGGCAAAATCGACCCCGTCCCACCGGTCCTCGTCCGCTACGCCGCGCCCCCTGAAGACCTCGTTCAAAAGTCGACCTCATCAATCGAAGCCCTCATCACCGCGGCAGACGTCAAGAAAGTACCTCCCAAAGCAAAGGGCAAGCGCAATCGCGAGACGATCAAGCCCCTGTCCGGCCTCGATGTCGACGCCCTCCTCGGCACTGCTCCCAAACGCGCCAAGATCTCCCCAGAGAACGCCATCCCTGAGTTCAAGCAGGCCCTCGATACTGCCGAGGACATTGCGCAGATCAAGGACGCCGCGGCGCAGATGGGCTCCATTGTGCGCTCGCTCGTCACGGACAGCTTCGGGGATGCCAACTATGCTCGCGCGGCGGAGAATTTGGGTGTGCTGAGGGAGGGCCTGGTTGACATGGAGGAGCCCGGTATCTACAATGACTTTATGAGAGACCTCAAGAAGAAGATGCTCTCTGGAGAGTTAGGCGGTGATCGGAGAGAGATGTGGTGGAGGATTCGGACATCGAGGTTGGGATTGATCGACCAGTCTGCGTCTGAAGTGTCGAAAGTGACGAGTGACGAGGCTGATGAGTTTTTGAAGTCAAAATAAGGCAAGGGGCCAAGCGGGCGTTGGGTTCTGTAATGATCAAGTTGATTCTGTAGATTCTTATCGAATCTGTGCTACCGTCTATGAACTTGGCTATCTGTGTCCATGTTCTCAAGCTTTCCGCCAGTCAAATGACTCGTTTCTCTCACCAATCCAAGCTTCCATGCATCGCAAACGAAAAGAAAGAAAGAAGAAATCTCATCCAGGGCATATCTCACAACTCAAGAAACGACAACCTTCTTCTCCGCCGCGGCCTGCTCGTCAATCTTGGCGCGGACGGCCAGACCGAGCATGGCGCGCAGGGTGTACGCGGCATCATTGCCGGCGTTGTGCAGGTTCTTGGACGGTATATCGAGGTCCTGCAGCACGAAGACCAGGCTGCGGCCTTGCGTCTCCTCCCGCCAGGCCTGGTGCATGTCCTTGGTGTCGAGGCAGCGGATCATGCCAGGGACGGACCAAGGGTGGACGTCCATGCCTGTCATGAATGTGAGGTCGGAGCTGAGGCCGTGGCCGACGAGGACGATGTTGCGGGGCGGTTTGTCCTTATCAGTACCGGAGAGTTCAGCGAAGGCGTTGAGAATCTGGTCTCGGAGGTCTTTGCGCTTGGGGTACTCGCTCTCACTATGGTCCTGGTCAGCAGGTTGAAAGAAGTAAAGGGGGGCTTGCGGGAGGTTTACCCAAAATCGAAGAGATCAGGGCAACCCTTGATGTACTTCTTGTTGACAATGTGCTTGTAGTCCTCCGTGATGAGGTGACGACTCTTGATGTAGGGGAACCAGTCGCGACCGACCTCGCCGGGTGGAACGCCCACGATGTCGCGGGTGTCGAGAGTTGTCATGCCGACCTCCAGGACGGTCCCATGGTGCTCCTCAGCGACCTCTATGTCGATGCACATGAAGACAACGTCCTTGTCCAGGACATGGGGAACCGACTCGTCGACCTTGACCTTCTTGTCCTTGCCCTCGGTCACGCTGGGCAGAGGTCGAATGCCGAGGTACAGCTGAGCATCGTAGATGTTCTCCTCCCGACTCTGTGTCTTCTCCTGCTTCCTCTTCTTGCTCTTGCTCTTGGGCTGGTCCTCCTTGGCATGAGCGCTGAGGTTGGCCAGAAGGAACTCCATTCCGTGTACGGTCGCTTCCTTGCAGGCGTCCTCGTCCTCAGGGGCCGGGATCGCATTCTGGAGGGCCTTATACTCGTTGTGCGAGGAAGAGCGACCGATGTACTTGGGACGGATGGTGCAAGAGGAGCCGAAGGTGAGGTAGAACTTCTCGCTTGGCTTGCCGGGAGGGATGGTCAGCTTCGTCTGGACCGAGGCGTTGATAATGTCGAGGAAGTGGTCGAATTGCTCGGTGGGGATGAAGATGAAAGGGGCTTGGTCGAGTGCCTTGGGGTGGTACACGTAGAAGCTGGGGTTGTTAGTTTTTCGTCCTCGGGGAAGGGTCTCCTGAGGGTGACTTACAAGTCCCAAGTGTGTTCTTCAGTCATGTTCTTGAAGAAGGGGGTGCACTGATAAAGTTAGCGGACTAATCCTCGCCTTGCAGGAATATAGGGAAGGAGCACTCACCTTCGGCCGGTTGGTCTTGCCGATGTAGTTCGAAGGGTACCGCTTTACGAGATCCCAAGCGACGAACTTGGTGTTCTCCTCCGACCATTCACCCGGCTTCATGGTCTCGTACTTGGGGAAGGTCTTTGTCATCAGCCTGTTGTACTCTTCAGTAGATAGCTTCTCGGAGGATGATGGAATGTAGACGGGTCTCGTGTGGTCCGTCTGTTGGCCCTGCGTTCTGGGGTCCTTGCCTGCCTTGGCGGCCTTGAGAGCAGCGGTCTGGCGGTCGAGTGCGAGGGTATCGAGGATGATCTTCTCAATGACCTCGGATTTGCTGGGGTAGGTGCGGTTCTCGAAGCGGAAACCTTCGCCTAGCAGCTCCTGCATGCGCTCAGCGAGCTGATCTGAGGTTAGGTTGCAGTCTTCGATGGGTTCATCGGTGACGAAGACGTCTTGCGTCTTGAGGTCAGTTTGTGTAGCAGCCATGGTGGAACGAAGTCCAGAAGTTGTGATGTATGGGGAATAGGTCGCCAAAATATCAGAACTGGAGGGATCTTACAGAAGAAGGATGAAGGGGTTCAGGCAAGAGTCAATGTGAATGTGAATGTGCAACTGGTTTATGTTGTAGTGTGGGAGAGGAAGAGAGTGGATGGTATCGAGGGTCAAGAAGGGGCTTTTTATGGGTGACTGTGGAAGAAGCAGGTGAGGATGTGAGCTTGGTTGCTAATTTGAAGATATCGAGGAAGGAGGTGGGTGTGAGTTCCTTCCTGGAGGTGTAAAACAGAGAATATTTGAGGGTTTGAATTCAAATTGCTTCTCGAGCTGAATGTGAGTTGCGAAAGCACTTCGGTCGGTCAGCTGAATCAAGCAAGCTATCGTTGAACTAGTAGAGGAGATGAGAGGAAGTGGGAGTACTCCTCGATCCGTCGATGATGCTGGTCTCTCTATGGCGAGATCAGACCGAAGACGCACTGTTATAGAAAGAATTACAACCGAATGTTGTAAGTCAGGTTTATGTTTGTATATCTGTTTGCGGCAAGCGTATGACGGCTGGGGAACATACTCGTTTCATTCTGGGCTGAAGCAATCAGTACCACAAGCAACATCTACTATGCAAAGTTGGGATACGCAGTTTGTTCATCAACTGGATACTGGCATTGGGCGAGGCTTGGGTCGATCAGGTCCCATTTGATGATGACTTCCAGGACATGTCAAGAATTGACCCAGTGGCAATTCCTCAGCAGAAAAGTGACTGGTCCCTGACTTGACAAAGACGAAAACCCATGCTTGTTAACTAGGAAGAAGTGCCTGAAAAGTCTAAGGAGCCCACAGAAAGTCTTCTAACACACCAATTGATGTTCTTTGTTGCGATGCAAGTGATCCAGCCTTCGTTCGGAGACTGACTGCAGCAGGATCAATCAAGAGCAGCAAAAGATGTTAGATGAAAGACAACACCTGTACAGGCAGCATCCATTCTGTGCGGCATTTGCTCCGTTCTCCGCCCTTGTCTCTGGTCATTCTCCATGAATGTTGTTCGACTTGGCCTGATGACTGGGGCTCCATTCCGTTTGCCAAATGAGACGTATAGCTCCTGCAGCTGGAGAACCCTGGGCGGTCTCACTTCAAGACCACGAGGGTCTGAAGATGAGATCCTCACAAGAGCCGTCCAAACTCAAGCAAGATTTGCACCTTAGAAAACCAAATCAACAACCGGGACAAGTGTCAAGTAGTAGAGAAGAGAGACGATTTGGCCTCCTGCCATTAAATATCTGGTCCAACAGTTAATCCCCCTGTCTAATCCGCAAAGGCCAGCCCAAAAGCCGAGTCCCATTTTTCAATACACCCTCGGGTCCATCCTTAAAACGCCGCCGCTATGAAGAACGACTAGTCTGTTATACATTCCACCGCCAGCAGAGCCTCCTGCCACACATAATCATTGTCGGGTTCGTCGTCGTCCATGTTATACACGTCACCACCGCCGGTATCCCCTCACGGGGCACAGTCTCAAGACGTTGTCTTCTCAAGCAACTCCTTCGCCTCGTTCACCTTGGTCGCAAGGTACGGGCTTCCGCCACGGTCGGGGTGGTTGAGTAGCATCAGGGTGCGGTGCTGCTTGCGGATCTTGTCGCGGGTGACGCCGGACTCCCTGCAAGTGACATTCAGTCAGCCTTCCCCGTTTCTTGGTCGAACTTGCTGTAAACAGCATCGGTACGAAACTTACGACAGAGAGAGGACAAGGCAGGCCTCGCGCTTGTTCATCTTCGGCTCGAATCCGCCCTTGTAGAAAGCCTTGCCCATCGCGCCCACGCCGCCGCGAGATCGGCGCCATGCGACAAGTCCAGCTCGGCCCTGCACGCAGAATTGTTAGTTGCCTGCAACTGATGAGAAGGTCCACACAAGCAGAGAAGCATACCAGGAAGGCCGCGACAGCAGCGCCGGTTCCGATAGCGAGAACAGAAGCCATGGTTGAGTATGTACGTGCGGTGTTGGTACAGGGTGCGGGCAAAAGCGGATCACGGAAGAAGATGCTGGATGAAGTGGGAGCTTTTTTTTTCCCTCCAAAGTTCGCCGTCCACCAAGCCCGTGATGCGCCGGAGATGGCCCGTGCACTTTGTTCAGTCAAGTAAAGGGTCGGCCTTTGATCGGAATGCTGGTTGTTCCGTGTCTCTTTTTTTCTTCTTGTCCTTGAGGAGCTGGAGGTCGGGATGCACGCTAATTTTATCGCATAGTTCGCCCCACCATCCAATCGATAAGGCCGGACCAAAAAATTTCTAAAAAACTTCCTGAAGATTTGGAGATCCCCAAGGCCATTTCGATCACCGCCTTCCGCTGAACGAGAGGAAGCGTCAACATCCTACCCACCCAAACCTCCTTCCCTTCCTTTTCCGACAGATTCGAGCCCGTGATACCCGGTGAGGTATCTACGTCCTCACAATGAGGTACGTTTGCACCATTCCCGTCTTTCTTGCAAGAAAGAAAGGCTGGTATCATCGAAGTTTCAAGCTACTAACAATGCTTCCAGAATCGAAACTTGCTACTTTTGCAGTCGCCCTGCATACCCCAGCAAGGGCATCACCTTCGTCCGCAACGATGCCAAGGTCTTCCGCTTCTGCCGCAGCAAGTGCCACAAGAACGTACGTCTCTAACCCGAAACCGAACTCCTCGCCGCCAGGCCCCCCTTCGAAGACGTTGGAAGCAAAGGCGAACCGTGGGAAGGAAGAACAACCAGCTAACCCGAACCCCCTCACCAACAGTTCAAGATGAAGCGCAACCCCCGCAAGCTCAAGTGGACAAAGGCGTACCGCGCCTCGGCGCACAAGGAGATGACGGTCGACAGCACGCTGCAGTTCGGCGCACGCCGCAACGTGCCCGTCCGCTACGACCGCGACCTCATGGCCAAGACGCTCAAGGCCATGGAGCGCGTCTCCGAGATCCGCGCCCGCCGCGAGCGCGTCTTCTACAAGAAGCGCATGCAGGGCAAGCGCGAGCGCGAGATCGCCGCCGCCCGCAAGCTCGTCGCCGAGAACGAGCACCTGCTCCCCCGCCTGCGCGGCTCCGAGAAGAAGCGTCTCGCCGCCGAGGGCGCCACCGAGGAGGAGATCGCCGCCATCGAGGCCGAGGGCCGCGTGCTGTCCAAGAACAGGGCCGGCAAGGTGTTCGGAAAGGAGAAGGTCAGGCAGCGCGTCACCGTCGACGGAGACGTCGTCGAGGAGAGGGAGGGCGTCATGCAGGAGGGCGACGAGGAGTGGGATGACGAGGAAGGTGACGATGACGAGGAGGGCGATGATGTCGAGATGGAGGATTAAGAGGGCTGGGAGAAAGAGAAAAACGAGCGAGACAAAGACAAAAAATGCTAATCGAGGAACCCCTATTTCCCTCTTCTCCTCGATGAGGAGGGAAGGGGGTGACTTTTTGGGTTTCTGGCGTTCAGGTATACAAGGCGGTATAGCATCGACGGCGTTGGTGGCTCTGAGGAATACCAAGAAGAAAAGTTTTCCGGGTCAGAACGGTCCATCATTCTCAGTCGCCGCCTTTGCTTTCCGTCTTCTGATGCCAGTCATCGTGGCAGCCTGCGCAACTGTAGATGCTGCATGATGGCTTCATGTTTTGCCAGGGGCTAGCGGGCGCTTTGTCTAAGCTGTCCCGAGGATTGGCAGCCGGTTCACAGCATGGGTGCCTTTTCCAAGGTCAGGGAACATAGATATCCAAATGCGAAAAGTCCACATCTACTACCGTCAATGTCATCCAAGCCGAAGTGGAAGTGATGCGCCCAAAGCGAGCGTCGCGGGTATCAATACTGTAGATGTTGTACAAAGGTTTTCCCCCAAAACTCCAAGCCGCAGGCCTTCTACGACCGAAAGCCCTGCCTCAAAACCGACGCCCCATAAACTCTTACTCCTTCAGCAGCCGACTCACGCGACCTCCTTGCTCTCCTTTGTGGATTGATGATAATATGTCTTGGGCGGCATGGGAAGCCCCGCCTCGACGTCCTCGATGATCTTCTTCTCCAGCGCCTCTTTGCGCTTGACCTCGTCCTCGGCCGTCTCGCTCCCGGGCACCGTCGAGTCACCGTAGTTGCCCGCGCCGCCCCGCCCGGTAGCGCCCCTCGCGGACCGCGCCAAGCTGGCGTTCACCGCCGCTTGTGTCTTGCCCGCGGCCTCCTCTTGCTGCTTGGTATCCGGCAGCGAAGAGTGATCATAAAAGTTGCCCGCCCCACCACGGCCGGCGCGGGCGTAGGCTGATCCGTTGGAGGACGATGTCGGACTGGTGGTGGTGGCGGCGGCAGCAGCGTCCTTCTGAGCCTCGGCGTCCTGTCATAGGCATCTCGTGAGCCAATGTCTTCTTTCGAACATGCTTGCAGTCGTTGTGGCAATTTGAAGTTGCACAACATTGACCTAGAAGCTTTGCATACCTCTGGCTTGGCCTTTTCAACGTCCTCGACGTCCTTTTTCGAGTAAAAGTTGCCTGCCCCGCCTCGGCCGACCTTTCGGAATACGTCAGACATGACGATGGTCAGTGGGTATCTTGTGTCTAATTAAATCTGGCTCTGAACGTCTGACGCCTGCGCGATGTACGGAGAAAAGAAACGCGATTCGAAAGATATGGCCACGCAGGCAGACAAATCTATTGAATTGCCAGTCAATGAGTTAGGCAGGCGATATCTCTGATAAGGGCTGCTGGCTGCGGCGATGAGTGACGTGCAGTTTTGTTGTAAATGAAAGTCATTAGCGGGTTCACCCCTTGGCAGGTGTGGCGCCGCGGGGTTAATCAAAGCTGAGTGGGAGGCCCCGACCACGTTATCGGTGTCCGCAGCCGGTTCTATTTTTCGGCTTGTTCTTTTTTCAGTCAGAAACATTCCTTCGTCAATGAAGACATTCCATTGCCTCCTCTGGTCCGCGCGCCGACCGGTTGCCCGAGATTTGTTGGACGAACTGTGCTTTTTTAAGGACGTCCTGGCTATTCTCGAAGGGGAAGATGCATGCGGTTCATTGGACGAGGTTAATGTGACGCAGCATTCGCCTGTCGATCGCCGCGTTCGAGCATCCCTCAGTGAGCCTTCATCCTGGGCCTCCCACGTTCGGACAGGAGCCTCGAATTCTGTTCGGATTCGGGCATATTTGAAGGGAGATCGACAGGTACATCGACAAGGCCCCTTGAGATAGAAAAATGAAGACCGACGTCGTTGCTCAACATTGCTCGTCGACCGCATCAAGAGGGAGGCGATTGACGACCATCATATCAGGTACCCGCGCGCCGCCGCCCTTCCCCGAGGGCCGCTTGGGGGTAACTTTCCCTTTGCATCTCACGATGTGATCCAGAAATAATCCAGGGGTCCAACCCCCTCGATGAAGGAGGAGCGGAACGCACGGGAGCGCCAGCACCCAAACCTTCTCTTCATCCCCGATGAACCTTCCGCAGAATACGGTGTGTGCTCCTGGGGCAAAGGGCAGCTGCTCGAAAATCAAGGAAACGGAGTATGCTTCCACGTGGAATGCTTTGCTGACGCAGGTACGCCGAGAGCAAGCTGTGAGAAGCAATAGTTTGAGCCACAAGGGGGAGGTCAACGACGAGTTTCGCAATGATAACGAGCACAGTTTGGAGAGTACCTCGGGGTACGACTGGGTACCTGACATGTACCCACTCATTGACAGGTCTCTTGATAGCGACACGCATCTTGCGGAGCCTGGAGGGGTGATGTGCAGCTGCCGCGAGAGGGGCTGGCTAGACGTGCTGATCGCCCTAGCCACTTTTCGAACTCTCGTCCGCTTGTATCTCCGCCGTTTCCTGCTCTCGTCAATTTGACGCGGGGATGGCAGCGCGCAATGATAACTACGGCCGGACCGGGATGGAGAGGTGACGGCTGACTCTGCGATAATCGTCCCGATGCCGGTCGAAGAGAAGGGAAAAGAGAAAATCCCATACTCACGTAAGACGAGGCGCAGCTAGCCCTCTCCCGTGCTCGGTCCCATGACTACGAGGAAACAGGCATCTTCCTGATCCATGTCTCGTTTCCTCTAAGACGCGACTTCGGCCGTGAAGCTGTCACTTCAGTGGGAAACCTTATCTCCTGGACAAGCAGGGTTGAGTCTCTGAAGACCGTACACTACCGGCACAAACGGTTTGTGCAGTCATTGTGCTGCAACTGAAAGATCGGCGGGGATTCCTGCCTTGATTGGAGAGCTCATGCATGGTGATTCCAGCTTCGGGATGGCATGGCACTGTTCAGAGAGTGAGGGGTGCAGCTGCACGCCTACAGGGCATGACCCTGACGTTCGTGTCTCATGGAGTTGCCCTACAGAACCACACTGCTGAAGTTTTGTGAGCAATCGTCGATTCGGCCCAGGAATTTCCTCTTCATCCGCGCGGCGGACTGGGTCCTCCCTGTTTTACAGCGCCGACAAATGGGGATAGAGTTGACGATCGACATCGAGTCGGCCATTCTGCTGTGGAGTATGCGATTGTTGGGCGACTTGGGGCGTTGCCCTTAGTGCGTTTTTTATTCTGCCCGAGCCAACTTTTTGAAAACTTTTGGACAGGTTGTCGGAGTGCAAACCGACGGGTCTGCGTGCCATGATTTGTTGAATGCGTGTGAAGGGAAGGGATTGAAGTAATGCTTGTCCAACTCGTCGGAACAGCTGTCGATCCTGAACATGGATGCCGACTTGCAAGCTGTGGCAGCGCCAATCCGCCTCTTGCGTGGATCAGACATTGGTGATGTTGATTCCCATATGCAACTTTGAACAACTGTTCTCTCGGCTGCCCCCGATGCCGTCTGCCCCGTCCACGTAAGACAAGTCCTTGCAACTTAATATCAAAGTCCTTGTTCAGGGCGTGTCGAGTCGCGGTTGAGCCGCTTGTGAGACCTTGACCGCTTTGCTGGGGCTCAATAGCAAGTCAAGTCCCTTAACCAGACCGATAAGATCCTAGTGAATCTCGGGCGTCTGACCAAACCAATCTGTTTTCTGCGAGAAGGTCATCTGTCGGTGACATAGCGTCGATTTAAGAGTTAAGGCGTTGTACTAAGATGCGTGCCCTTTTCTCCTGGAATCAAAGAGGATTAGTTGCCATCATCCCTTGGTATTAAGTTGCCGCCCGGTGAAGGTGTTTCTAAGTGCAAGGCAGAGTATAAATTACCCAAAAGATTGACAAAAACGGTCACGAGTATCGATTAGTCGCAAGTAAGCAAGTTGGCGTCAAGCCATACAGAGCCGCAGAGTAATAGACGTTAGAGCATATTCCCCTCTCGTCCAACTGCTGGACATCAGGCTGAATGACCCCATTACGAGCCACCAGAAGACTTCATTCGACGTTGAGGACACATTCAAGCCCGAACAACGGGACACGCCGAAGATGTCTTGGATGCATTCAAAGCGTCAGTTTTGGCAACTGAAACTCCGATCAACCCAGCCTGGACTTGGACGGCTGCGCCCAGTGACGCACTGGTTGCATGCTAGGTGCATTGAGAAGGCGAAAAGCTTTCAAGACTCAAGCAAAAAATGCCCTCACTCTTCGTTGCCAACTTGCAGTGTGGTGTGGTGTGGTGTGTCCATGTCCGGTCCGGTCACTGGCGGGCCGGCCGGTGCTGGAAGAAATTCTTCGCTGACGATCTTCCCATTGCCCTGTGAAATTCCTGCCCGCTGCTTAGATATTACACCACACCTGAAAAGCGCAGATACCGGGGAAGTAGTGTCAAGTGGCGACCGTGGTCCATTCTGACCGGTGAGGCGGCGGCGGGCAGAGACAACTTCAGCGACGGATTGCATCGGAGAGAGCACAATGACCGACGGGAGGAGCGGCGTGCCGCCAGTGCCACGAAAGCCCACCCGACTTGCCCAGAGCAGCAGGCCGCATGTTGCCCGATGGAAGGGAGATGGGAGCAGCTGACCGTCCCGAATGGCTCTGGCGGCGCTCTAGTACGGAAATGACGAGACGGGAGCGAGACGGCCCTTGGGATAGAGCGTTTTCCCGGGACTGCGGGATCCGTAATGCGTGCCGCGGTCAAGACCTCAGAAGAGAGTTCTCTGGGATCGGCGGATTCATGGCCAGCAAGGACACGAATGAGGCGACTGTGGTCTGCGGGAGTCGTGCGCTTGACGAATTCGAGGCAATTAGCAGGTAGGGACAGGCGAGGTAACGTAGCCGAGCATAAAGATTCGCCATCGCATGGCATCGCATCGTATGCATCAGAAAGTGCGTACATATACATACGACGACGGGGGCGGCGGCGTTGACTGACGCGCCAGCCAGCACAGCAGCGTCAGAAAGCCCCAAGCTCGGGCAGCCTCTTCATCGGATTCGCTCCTGG